CTTGCAATATGTCACCAGAAGAGAAAACATCACAACGGGCTAAACCTGGATAAGGCTCTTCCTCCAACATGACAGTAATTCTCTTTATCTTCAAACTCCAGCCAAGCACACTAAGGGACTGTCTGTGTGCTGGCCCTGGTGAACCCACCCCGAAGGTGTTCAGGATGGCGTCCTCCTGGGACAAAGCTCAGTGCAGTGGTCTCTACAATGCAAAACAGAATTGTCCCCTACACCTCAGTCATCCACCTATCAGAACACAAGCAAACACATGCATGGATCTCACCTCAGCTACACTGTGGTCTCAGCACTGAGAGCCGCTGGTACCTACTCACAACATGGCTGGTCTAGATTACAGTCAGTCCAAGGTGCACAAGAGGGCTGAACACACACTCTTCCCCTGAGTTTTATCCAGATGATGGCAGAAGTCCCTTTGGATTCCTGACTCGGCTACAATGTGGCCAAATTTTCAGGAACATCTCCACTGAGGTATGGAGAGTGGAGTTAGGGGTAAAGACAGCTTGTAGCAGGGGCTAAAGAGGAAGCACAACGAACGGTGCACATAACGTGGCTGTCACTCTTGTGAGATAATCCAACGGCCATTCCCAACCCCAGTCTCCCTTTGTAGCCTAGCCCACAGTTCCAGAGAAAAGCCTACATACATGTTCTAAAGCAAGAGGCAGAAGGAGACAGCACTGCTCCTCCCCTCACCCCACCTCCTCCTGGAGACAAGGAAGAACCGCCTGGAGCTGAGGTGGGCCGGCCAAACTCAGGAGTACAGAACAGCAACAGAGGATGCAGAGAGGAAGAAGTAGCTGGCTCCGCAGGCAGTACTCAAGGAGTAAATTATTCGCCTTAGAGATCTTATTAGTGAAAAAGACAAACTGTAATCTGTCTAAAATCCAATTGTGAATTTTCACTGCATCAGCTTTCCAAACCCAATGTTTGGGGCCCAGGGAAGACTGCTGCCATACATCCTCCTGGGCCTGCTGGGCGCCTGCCTGGGTCGCTCTTGGAGAAAAGGTGAGTTTGGAACATAGGAGTGCCTGGAGCTGCAGACAGCTATGGGCAGCTGAAGGCAGCCTGCAGGCAGCTGCAGCAGTGGAGGAAGGCTAGTGCAGAGGGAGAGGAGGCTATCTCCAGGAAGAACAGACTGTAAGTCAGGTGGGCCACACTCAGCTCTGTGCTCGGTGGTGTTTGTCGTCTTTCACAATCTCTATACATCAAGCACAGAGACTTGACTACATCTGGGGCAGGAGATAATTATAAGAAAAATCATGAGACCAAAGTATGGGTGCTTTAGTCCTTCTTAGAAGGAGTATCAAAATACTCAACCAGAGCTCTCAGGGTCTAAACCTCCAGCCTGAGAACACAAAGGGAGGGACTAACGGCTCCACCTGTATAGGTAGTTGAGGATGACCTTGTCAGGCATCAGTGGAAGAGGAGGGACTTGATCCCTGAAAGTTTGGATGCCCTAGTGTTAGGGGATTCGAGAGCAGGGAGGCGAGAATGGGTGGATGGGTGGGGGCACACCACTTCTACAGTATTTATTGTACTGTCTCTTCTACAGTATTTATTGTAAGTTGCATTGACTGTATAATTTCCAATTGTGTTAGTGGGTTGAAATCTGGCATGTCTGTCATGGGAGTCTATCAACCAGCTTTTGTCTTACTGCCCTGAGTACTAGAAAACCTCGATTCTCTGAAAAAAAAAAAAAAAAGCTTGAAAGTGCTGGAAGAAGTGAGTTAGGCTTTAAGCAGAAGCATGAGAGTAGTGGGCTTGATCATTGCTGGTATAACAGCTTTAATTACATTAATTGCTAGCACCACTGCTTCTGCAATAGCATTGACTCAAGGAGTTAAGACAACTATTTTTGTTAACCATCTAGCAAAAAATGTTACTAATGTACTGAGTATACAAAATGAATTATATAGGTATCTGGAATAACCAATGATGCTCTATTCAAATTATTTGAAAGAGGTTCAGGGTTCAAGAGTTAGGAGCCATCCCAAGTGTCATGACAAATATCATTGGAGTAGTGTTACTTCTAAAATTTACTATAATTGTCATTATAATTAGAAAAAAGTTTAAAGACACCTGTAGGGTATTCGGCATAATCCTAACACCTCTCTGGGTGTTTTAACTTTGCATAGTGAGATTATGAATTTAAAGAATGCTGCTCTGTTGAGCTTTGATGCTGCAGATAATGTTGATAAAATTATCCACGGCCTGAGGTCAGTATTTCCATTTTAGTCAAACCTCAGGGATGGCATATATAGCTTGATCAGGCTAGCCCTTCTTGTCCTGAAAATAGTTTTATTCCTGTCCATCGTGTTAAAGCTAGTCACTAACTACATCAACAGGGTGGCAGCCAAAGTACATGACTGGAAACTGTGGACCCCCAGACAGAGACAGGCTGGCAAGCCAAGGACGGGTAAGATTCTGTGTAGAGCCTTACCAATCTAAGACAGAAGTGCATTGCTTATGATAATGCACATTCCATGACAGGTAAGGAAGGCTTTCTTGTCAGAATGACATTAAGACAGCCTCAGTCTTGTTTATGCAATAAAAAGGTGAAGATGTGGAGAGCTTTTGGGGCTGCCTGGCAGGAATCTGTCATTGGCCAAGGACAAGGAAATGGGCTGCTTGGAAGAAATCTGACATTGGGCTGGAACAAAGAAGCAATTTCAGGCAGAAATCTAAATCCAATTACACAGAAGTAATCATAGGTAGAAATCTAAACCTTAAGCTAGAACAAAGAAGTAGGCTTCAGGCATGACAATGACTTTGGGCTAGGACGGGGAAGTATGCACAGATATTTTGATCATCCTGATAAGCCCTTAGAAATAGTGATCACAGGAGTGATCACGAGACTCTGTTTATTGTCATTCATGTTCTTTGATTATCTGGGTTTATTGTCTTCCTTGTTCCTGGACTATTTGCATCTATTGTATTGCTAGTCCCTCAACCTAGAACTGACCTTAATGCTTGCATGTAATTTAAACAGCATAAAGGCAAAAAAGGAGGAGGAGGGATGGGATAGGGGATTGATGGGTGGGGGGAATGGGGAAGGGGGATGGTATCTGAAATGTCAATAAATAAAATATCGAATAAAAAAAGGGAAAAAAAATCGTGGATGACAGAAATAACAGTTGGGAGACAAGAAGGAAAGGAAAAAGCCAGGAGCTCAGAGCCTGGACATGGAAAGTGTGGACCACAGCTGCTGAGGCTTGGATATGACAGCCCTGCTAAGGACATCATTAATGCAACAAGGCTGCTACTATAAACCTTCTAATGGCTTCTAAGTTTACACTTCCGCACCCACAGATAAGAACAGCTCTCAGACCTCAAAGGAGAAGTTCCTTTGTAGACAGTAACAGAAATGCGAACAGCAGTGTGTGCCAGTGGGGTGCTTGGCCATAAATGGGATGTCTACATCACTCCTCCACCCAGAACCAAGATCAGGGACCACAGACAAGGAGGGAGTGGAAAGGCCGTCCTAGCCAGAGGTCAGGGAGGATGTGAGCAAATCAGTATCTTCTGGACCCAACGGGATCACGGCCCTCATGACCACATAGCAGCAGTGGTTGTCTGTGCAAGATCTACAAAAGTCAAAGCCAGTCAACAGTTTAGTGTGGAGCAGGCAAGCCTGCCAAGGTCTTGGCCCATGAGGAGGCACCGACAGTCAGGGGCTCCCAGGCTGGGAGAGTCCATTTTCTTTAAAAGGATGGCCCCTGGTAGGGTTCTCAAGTTTGGGCAACACAAACTGGTTTCAGTGGGTTATTTAAGAAGAGGGAGACAGGAAAGGGACCACTTGAGCTGAGAGGGGTTAGGAGACAAACTGGGGTAGTGACTATAATCAAAAAACATTGTATGACATTCACAAAGAATTCATAGAAATTTATATTAAAAAAATACAGTGAGCTCACAAAACAGAAAAATCAGATACAGCACTACAACGGAGCAGAAGAGACGGAGGAAGAGGAAGCCAGGACATAGATCCATCCATCAGCTAAGAGGTTTCTCTTTTGAGTGCACAGATTCAAACAAACATCAATTACAACTACCAGCAATGTGTCTCTTCACTATCAGACCTCCATCTGGTTCCTGATTCACTCCTTCCAACCATGTGGGTTTTGGAGCTCAAATGCAGGTTGCCAGGCTTGGTGGCAAGCATCTTTACCCACTGAGCTACCTGCTAGCCCATCTAGCTTTTCTTTGCAATAGAGGTCTCACTAAGTTCCCAGGCTGGCTCTGAACCTACTATGTAGTCTAGGCAGGTCTTGAACTTGCAATGCCTCTGCTTTTGCCTCTAACAGCTCGTGCTGCTAGTCCCTACAGAGTCCAGTAATCCTTAAAGAGGAACCCCCAATGGCAGCTTTGCTTCTGGTTTGTATAAAAATAAGAAGCTCGTGCACAGACAACTTAAACAGGTATTTCAAGAAAGAGACAGGGAGCTATATCCTCCAGACCAGAGGAGTAAAAAGGGTACCTTTCTGACAGTGTCCCTGCCTGGAAGGTGGTGCCAAGGGTTATTTTATTTATCACAAATGACATACTACTTTAGTCAAAGTTAAAGCACTTATTTTTAAAAGAACAGTGAAAATAGGGATACTTGAAGATTTTCTTTAATCTTCAAATTACAAAATGAGATGATATTAAAAAGAAAAAAATCCTAAGGAAGACTCCTGAGTGACAGATACACATTTCCTGGCTCTGAGGAAGCTCCAATCTGTTGCAGAAATTCGTGCTTGCTGTTATGAAGCTGCTGTCTCCTTTACCTCCAGTACTACTCTGCGAGAGAAGCACACAGCAACCAAACCCCAGGGTCCCAGGGCAAGCACTACACCACCAGAAAATGAAAGCAGATAATCAACCCTCAAAATTTATGTCACTCATGTGTATGTTTACACTTATTATTTGGGGGCTTGTGGTCCAACCAGCCACTTTCTGCTGTTGTATTTAATCATTTTCCCTCTTTCCTGCCCTCTCCCCCAGACTACAAATCTATTCCCCAATTGGATCTTGGCTGCCACAAGGACAGGCAGAAGGCACAGGGATGTTGTCATCCCCTCCAAGGGTAAAGCAGAACAGCAGAAAATACTTCATTCCAAAGTCTTCCATAAACCAATTACTCGACAGTTTCTATCAGTTCACATTTACACAACAATCAAAAGATATTGCAAATCTACACAGAAACTGTCCGGCTGGATTAGTTTAGGTCTTTACTTATTGAAAACAGATCCCATACAACCTAGTAGACGCGCCCTCCTCCAGCCTGCATTCTCCTGAGTGCAGTGCTGGGATCATAAAGCATGTGCCACCGCACCCACACCAGGAAAGATCACACTAAGCGGGTAAGCCGAGCCGTTACACAGGACTGCTTTTCCACACAGGAGGGTGAGATGACTAATGAACACTGATGTGATATCTGGGAGCCAATTCTGTAAGAGTCTATGATTGTGATTTCCGCTGTTTTAAGCAAGAGACTGAATGAACACTGACCACTGACACTAAGTGTGAAAGAGAAATGCAAGCTCAGCCTACACTGTAACCACAAAGAGAATGAAGACAGAAGCCGAGCTACTTGTGAAGCACTTGGCGTAACACAGCGCCTCCTTCCATGTGCCTTGTAAGGCACACCTCCTTCATGATGACTAAACTGCCCCCCCCCGTCTTCTAAAACTGATCATCAATGTGAATCATCATGCTGTACTCAGTGGAATGAACAGGGTCTGTGGCTGGTTAATCCTTGGCAACACACAGAGGACACACGTGGTCCTGAAGAGCAGCGCCACAGTGCTGGGAAGCAGGCATTTAATAAGATGCTTGAGCTGTAACTGTACCTGTGCTGGAGAGGGGCAGGTCCCTACCCAGCGGGCTTTAGTTAACCAGCCTGATGGTCTGATGGCTTCCCTCACCTCTCCATAGCTCAGGGACAGGCTGTGAGAGTTGGGCAGGATTCTTCGGTACATTTACTGACGTTATAAATGGGAAGATTTTTTGTTTTGTTGTTTGTTGACACACACACACACACACACACACACACACACACACACACACACACAGAAGGTTTCTCTGTGTAGCCCTGGCTGTCTTGGAACCTACTCTGTAGATCAGGTTGGTTTTAAAGTCACAGAGTTCTGCCTGCCTCTGTCTCCCAAGCACTGGGATTGGGCATGGCCTGATATTTCTTACTTGATGTCAGGAAACACAAATTACCTCCTGGCATTTGGGGGTATTTACAGCTGATTAGCTGACCTACTGTGGGCGAACCCAGGTGAGGTGGCTGAGAGTAGGGCATTAAGCTGGAAACACAAACACAAATTCTTGCCAAATACAGAATGAACAGGCCAGCGAGCAATGCTGTGGTGTCCAGCTCACCTTTTAAGAGGAAGAGGTGTTATATTTATCAGTCACTCTCCTGCAGGTTCCACATATAAGGGCTGAAGCTACACATATGAAATATTAAACAGTAGGCATGTTAACTTTAGGTTCTACTAAAGAGACTTTCAGGTTTTGTTGCTGACTCCTTCAGTGCTCTCTTCTGATGAAATGTGAAAAACATAACAAACACATTAAAACTGAGCAGATTCAGAGAGGCTCTCGGAAACACTGAAGGCCATTTTTTGTTCTTGGATTGAGAATTTCCTGTGCTGCAACCAATCAGGATTCATGAGCCCCCAGAGGCCACAGAGTGTTTCCACTAGTGCTTCTGTGCAGCCCACTGGATAGAGGCCTCTTAATTGAAACTGCCTCTTCAATTTCTCTTTAGAACTCACTGTTTAATTTAACCATCAAATATTAATTAAAACAACCAGGCAAACTACCACTTCATTATCCATGCAACTCCCAGTCTCTCCAATTCCTGACAACAGACCTACCTAGCAGCTGTTCTGACTTTACCATTTAGCTTGGAGGTTTGAGTTAAAAAACACAAACTTAAAAGAAAAAAAAATGGAACAATAATAAAAGACAACCATGGAAATAAAGGCTAGAATGGCAGCGACGAGCCTGTTTTCCTTAAAACCAATGTGCCTGCACAATTTAACAATTTAGCAAGGCCATCCACACACAAATCTCCCTGCTAACGTTACCATCCAATGCTCAGACTGAAAATGACAACAAGTACAATGGGATATACTTGTCCGGGGGGAGGAAACACCTCTATAGCTCTCACCAAACATCACAGCACGGCCTAAACACACAAAACCTCTCATCACACAGAGATCCTGCTTCCCAGGCTCCCTGCAGCATCTTACACAGACATGCAATCACGCACACACGGGCAGAAGGGCAGGCAGTCTCTGTCTCTCTTTCTGTGTCTCTGTCTCTCTCTGTGTGTGTCTCTCTGTCTCTCTCTCTCTGTCTCTCTCTCTCTCTGTCTCTCTCTCTCTCTCTCACACACACACACACACACACACACACACACACACACTCACTCTCTCACACACCATACGCAACGCTGCTGGTTTCTGAGGACCTCACCTCTAGCTCCTGCTCCCTCTGCAGCGCAAACTGTTTGAAGGACTTGACGATGAGGCCAGCATTGGAGCAGTCGTAGACGAAGATGGACGGGCTGCCCATCCATGTCTGCAGGTCGTATATGGACAGAGGGATGTACTGAGTGTAGTTCTGGAAAACAAGCACAGGTCGCATGGGTTATACACACATGTCGTGAATTCACAGGCTGACGAGCACCTGCACACTGGAGAAGGTAGGGCCCAGTGTCTGATAGAGGCAGAGATGCCTCCCTAGCCATAGAAAGCCACACTCAGTTTTACCTCTATGGCTGTGAGATCTTACTCCAGCAATGCCACAGGGAAGGAGCTGTTCAAGCTCATGTCAGCAGCCGGTTTATGCTGGATTCAACTGCTCCCCGCACCCTGAGACAGACCCTAGCCACGGCATGTGCACACTCCCCAGGCCCCCTTTCTCTGGCTGCTCTGCTTGTGTGGCACAGATGGGCTCTGAGAGTTGAGTTCAGATTCACAAGCTTTCCTCGCTGCTCCTTCAGTTTTAGAGTACTCTGTAAGTGGGATTGGCTCTGTACAGTGCTTAAGCTGATCACAGGTGACACTAGGTCACAGAGTGATACTCTTTTCTGGACACACTGTTCTGCTTACCTGATTGCTGGTAGGTAACAGGAGAGAAAACTCAAGTCTAAACAAATGCCAAAAATCCTCTTTTAAGCCAAAGTTTTAAAGCAATTATTCCAAAACAAAGACAAATCAACACAACAATGAGAAAAGGCCGGCCTGCACACACTCACTTCTGCCTAGACACCAGCGTGTAAGTGTTGACCCAGACAGTTGGCTCTTAGTAGCTAAGCCACAAACACTGACTCTGGGGTGCCTATAGCTCAACAGTCCTAACAAGGACTGCAGAAGGGAGTGCCAGTGGCCAGCAGGAGCTTGTCCCCTACTCTAAGTCATCGCCTGAGGACAATGCAAGGTGCTGCCTTGAGGAGGGTGTGGCCATCTCTAGCTCTGGTGAGGACCACAAGTTCTGGCTCTTCCTACTGTCACACTATCCTCATTTGGCAGACTGTTTACAATCACAGTACTCTGAGACAGAACACCTGGAAATGTTCTCTCTAAATAAACACTCCCAGAAGGATTCTAAAGACACCAGTTCCCGGATAATGGCGCTATACAGCAACGGCAGCCCCATCAAGATGCCCGAGGGGTTTTTCCTCTAATGGAATTTGACAAGCTTATTCTAAAGTAAGTGCAGAAGAGAAATCACAAAATTAGAAAAAAGAAAGTTTAATAAAGAATAATGAATAGAGATTCGCACTACCAGATATTAGAAAGGCTATAAATTTATATAATTACAAGCTGGTATTATTGAGGGCGAGACAAACAAATCAACAGAGGAAAGGCCCAGAAATAGACCCACATATATAACTGTGATGAAATGGCATTTTTAAATCAGTAAAGAACGGATGAATGACTCAGTGGGTGACGCTGAAAAGTCTAACTACCCATTTGATATTGCCTCACAGACGTTGAACCCAAAAAAAACTAGAATTTACAACGTGTAAACACAGAATATTTTTATTTACTTAGATGCAAAAAAAAAACCTTCTTAAACAAATCACAAAATCTAAGGTCTAAAAGAAATGAGATATAAACACACATTTATGACTCGAAGCTTCTGAAGGAAGGTGACAGAGCCGACAACTGATTCATGTTTAGAAGGTGTGTGTGAGCTCCTGCTCAGACCAGCAAAGGTCAGAGCAGGAGCACACACAGCAAACATGAATGGTGGTGATGAGGAAGGGCCGCGCACCACTCGGTCACGCGACAGAGGAAAAGTGAGTGTCAGTCTATCCAACCACATACACAGCTCCATCTGATTTTCTTCAGCAGAATGAAAAGAGAGATAAAAAACAAATAATGCTTTATAATGACAAAGATGTGTTGAACTTAGTGTTGGTGGGAGCAGAAATTAACAAAAATATTTTGGAAGATGATTTGTCAGCACTGATCAAATTTTAAAGTCTCCAACCATGGGTGGTGGTGGCACACACCTTTAATCCCAGAACATGGGAGGAAGAGGCAGGCCTGGTCCACACAGTGGGTTCTAGGACAGCCAGGGCTACACAGAGAAACCTTGTCTCAAAAAAATCAAAAACAAAACAAAGAAAAAAAAAAAAAGAGTCTCTCCCATTTGTCAGCTTCCACAGGTCTCTACAGAAACTCTGGTATTTATACAGAGGACACTGAAGGGTGTTTGGAGTTTGTACTAGTAAGGCTGTGACCCACTGTGGCCTAGTGTCTGTTTTCTGCTCTTCCATACAGGAGAGCCCTGGGTGAGGACACACCATGTTTCCTTAGAACCTGGCCAGTGGTACGTGACTAGTGTTCAACAACCCACACCCAGGCACAAGTGTTCTCAGTGCTCACCTTGGGACTTGGATTCTGGTCAGTCTTATAGGACAAGAGTAGAGGAAGGCCAACACTATGCTGAGAAGGCCGGGCCCCAAATAAAGACTATCAATCTACAGCTTCCCTGGATCCTCACAGAGGATCTCTCTCATACAAGAGAATCAGTGAACAAGATGAACAGGGAGGCAG